GAGGGCAAACAGCTGGTGTCCGTTAAACTTAAATCCTGAGAACCTTGCACGTACGTGCACGAGGGCCCCGTACAACTTTGTCCGCTGCAGCCCTGCTGGTGATTCTGAACAACTGGAAATAGCGTAGCATCCTTCCGTTGGGAATGACTAGAGCATGGCGTCTGTTCTATGGATTTACCACGGTGGGTGCCTAGGTGCCAACGTGAAATGCTCCTCAACTGCAGAACAGTACGTACCACTTGATAACACCGATGTTAATACTGTAAAGTTCACTGATTGAAAGGCTGTGCTAGGCATGCGGAGGCTGTCTGAATATTTGCACAGGCACAGACAGGCCACTCAGGGGCTACAAAGAGGGCACACTAACTGGAGACTGTGGCCTCAAGTCTGTAGCCCAGTGTCTTCTCCTGCCCTTCCCCCTTCCTCTTTCAGGCCATTCCTGTGGAAGGAGGTGCCCAGCCCCTCCTCAGATCATTGGCAGGGAGGAGAGAAGGCCGCGGGCTATAGCGCAGCTGCTTGTAACCGCAGAGTAATGAAATCCAATCTCCCATGCAGATGTGTGGCAGCCGAGGGTTGGGACACGGCGCCCCAGGACCTGGGCCGGGCTGGGGCGGGTCAGTGCGACGTGAGAGACAAAGTTTGGTGGGAAAACCGTCAATGAGAACTGAACTGACCGTTATTAACTCAGAGAGACTTGGTGAATTCAAAGAGAAGTGATGACTCAGTACACGCCCAAGCAGGAAGCAGTGGGAAGGCAGGAGAGTTGAGCAGAAGGTGAAGGGTAGAAGCGAGGAGCGCCTGGGCCAAGAGAAAGGAGACATGACTGCTGTGTAGACGCCTCTGGGAAGCAGAAGCCTGGGCAGCAGCCTGACTCGGGCAAAAGACTATGTCACTTATTTTTAAGCCTAAAACTCTTTTTTATGTTTAAATCTCTTTCAAAAAAAGCTGTTGTGTGAAAATTAGATGATGCGACTGTACTTTCAGCATAAGCACATCTGCCTCACTGTATTTGGACATAAACCCGAACGCCGGACACTTTTTGAAATAAACTGTATTTAAAATATATATCATTGTCATGTTCTCATGATGAATTCTTAGGAATATGGGTTAAATTCAAACCAAAGACTTACTTTCTCTCTCTTGCTTCTCCAGACCGTGGTCAGCGTTAGGAACGAGCTCTGGAGGGCTCGCGGATCCCTGGCGGCTCTGCACAGGGAGAGGAGGTGGGGCGTGAGGGTCCGCGCATGCCCACAGCAGCCTGTCCTCCGGTGCTATGCGAAAGTCTGCAAAGAGCCTGCCACGCTCTTTTTTTTTTTTTTTTTTAATTTGGAAGACATTCCTTAAACAGAGAAATCTATGCCCAGTAGTAGGGAAAATGGGATTTTGACTCTATTTGAGTAGTTAAGCACAGCAAAAATCATCTGGATAATTATATTACGTTTTGAGTTGTGATGGCATGATTTTGTTTCTCGAAAGCTGGCTAGGCATTTTCAGTGAAGTTTTGATTCTTGTGTGTGTTTTACTTACTTCTAAAGAAATCAGCACCCTTTCTCCGACAGCGTCTAACTTTCTGCCAGGCTGATTAGGTTGGTCGGAAACTGGTCACCATCTTCTTGTTTCTCAAGGGACTAATCGTTCCTTGAGTTCCTGTCTCCTGTTGTCGTTCTTTTATTATTTTATTTTATTATCAATTTTGTGTATATACATTAATTATGCATGAAATCGTTAATTTATTGAGCATCTACTAGATATATACCTCATATATGTGTATATGATGCGATGTGCTTCATAATATAAGTGTATGAAAGATGAGGGACATTTTTTAAGTTCTGTGATAACTCATGAAAAGGAGCCTAGTAACACTTTTCAAGTAGTTTAATAATTGAAATGTTAAAAGCAATTTTAATTCTTTCCATGGTATAAGAAAAAGAAATTGGAAGTGAAATTAAGAGATGTAGGGCAGAGCCAGCCCTGGGGGTCTAGTGGTTAGGATTTGGCGTTCTCACCACCATGGCCCGGGAACCCACAATACTCAGCTGTCAGTTGTCCCACTGTGGCGGTGGTGTCTCACATGAGAACTAAAACTAACAACTAGGGCACACAACCACGCACTGAAGCTTTAAAAGAACAAAAAGAAAGAAATGTAGTATGGCAATAAGAGGCAATTTCGAGATCTAGTTCTTTAAAGCATAATTCTTAAAATAATTATCTCAAACTGATTTTTTTTAAACCAAGCTATTCCCTTTTATATAATTCATACCCACTGCATACGTTGCTGGTCTCGTAGTAAGGCATTTATCAGCACAGCATGCACAAAAGGTGAGGCTGATCAATGCCAGAAATCCACGTGAAGGCTTTACCCTTGCTCTCGTCTGCACCACCATCTTCATCACGGATTTTGATAACATAGTCGAGGACGTGCTTGTCAGATGTGTGACGTGATGCCAGAGGCATAGGTGATGAGTGGAATGACAGCCTTGAGTCACTCAGGTGTGATAGTCTGGAACAATTAATAAAGGGGCAATGAATAAGGACCAAATTTTAAGGGATTAAATGCAAGTCCTACACTTATGGGCCCAGGTTCACAACAAATAGTGTGGAACAGACCTGGAAGATATAGTTAACTGTAAGTTCAGCAGCAGCCAGCGTTGTGTCACTGATTGTTTGAAAAGCAGCTCATTCGCAGACTACATTAAAAGAACGAGTATTGGAGGACGGCCTGGTGGCACAGCAGTTAAGTTCGCACGTTCCGCTTCTGTGGCCTGGGGCTCGCAGGTTCGGATCCTGGGCGCAGACCTATGCACCGCTTGTCAAGCCGTGCTGTGGCAGGCGTCCCACATATAGTAGAGGAAGATGGACACAAACATTAGCTCAGGGCCAATCTTCATCAGCAAAAAGAGGAGGATTTGCGGCAGATATTAGCTCAGAGCTAATCTTCCTCATAGAAAAAAAAAGAAAGAGTGTTGTTCAGTCGTTAGTTTTCTGTTTTTGCTCTATACTCTGCTAGGTGCTGACCCAGGAACGTGGTATTCACTGCTTTGTGCAGGATTGACTTGCCTTGGGAATATTTTCGCTCTAGTTTTGAAGGCCTTCTCCATGGGAGATTCAAGCTCCTTAACTCTAGAAATCAGAACTATGTATAAGGATGTACAAGTTTAGAAAGGCAGATTTCAGATCGTTTGAAAGGAGTAATTTCTCACATAATCTGAACGGTTTGTTAACTGTGGACCTTTGCCTGGAAAGTATTGGGCTCCCAGTTGCTAGAAATGTTGGCACTGGGTAAATTAGGTTCACCAGAAAGTCTCCATGAGAATTTCTTCTTGGGAAAAAAAAAACAGATAAGAACAGAACTGCACTATTTTAGGGCTTTGCCTACCTTCCCCTGGATTGTGGAAGGTGGGATATATGCCTTCTGCTGTCAGGTGAGGAGGATGGGCCAGAGAGGAGGAAGGGGTGGGCATGGTGGATGCATGGGAGAAAGAGAAACTGACAGCACTGTGGCCAGACTCCAAGGACAGAGAGCGCTGTCTGGAGAGGCCGTCTGAGAGGGTTTCTTTGTTGTCTGCTATCTAAAATCTCTGGGCCGACTCCTTCCTGAAAAACCTGTCATAAAGGTGTACTTGAAGCCCCAATTAGCATCAAGGCTTTTAGAGTCAGACTCCTGTTCTCCTGAGTGTGACTGTCCGGAAGCTTGCAGGCTCTCCTTTAGAGGCGCCCGCTTTGGAAGGCGGCCCAAACGAAACTCCAAGTCCTCGCCAAAATCTACAGCAATTAGGGATTTCGAAGGCTCCAGCCCTGAGAAATGTTGTTGCGTTTCCACCAGAGAGCCGATTTCTACAAACTCCACAAATGTGCCAACAGCACTGATTAAAGAATAAGATTCTACTTCAGTCCGCCAACTTTAATTGTATACATACCCTATAACAGGGACTATTTTAGGCCTGGGGATATGGCAACAAGCAAAATAGAAAAAAAAAAGTTGCCAGATTCAAGAGACAATAAGCAATGATTAAGTAATAGAGTAAGGACAATAATGAGACATGTAGTCTGTCATTGTGACGTGACTGCCCAGAGGTTTGAAGACTGGAGACTAAGTCAAAACCTGAGATCTCTTCAGGCTCTGCAGTAATTCCATGTGACAAAGCCGCAGTGACAAAGTCGGGGAGGAGACAGGAGGTGCTGGTGTTGAGGCTGGGGTTCTGGTTTGCGATTTTAAGTAGGGCAGATGAGGGAGCCGAGCGAGAGCCCGGGGAAGGAGGGTTCCAGGCAGAGGGACCAAAAGAGCAGACTTGGGGGAGAAGGCGCCTACTGTGTGCAGAGAGCCACCAGGACCTCTGTGTGGCCGGAGGGCAGGAGACAGCAGAGGGGAGGTAAAGAGGGAAAGGGGCCTTGGCCATCTTGTCAGGCCTCGTCCACCTCTGTAAGGACTTCGGCTTAATCCAAATAAGAGGGGAACCATGGAGGGTTTTGAGCAGAGGAGTGACAGCGTCTGCCCTGTGTTTTAAAAGAATTACCCTGACTACTGTGTTCATTCTTAAGCCAAAGAACAACTAGACTTAGGAAGAGAAGCTAAACAGGCCGCATCCATGAACTGCATCACTGGCCCTTCCTTGTGGTCTTGGGCAGCTGTTAGGTGTTTAGCGTGACTTGTATACCGTCCTTCTAAATAGAGTGTTTCTAGATAAAAGGATAATGAATAAAGTCAGTATTCAAATTTACATAGCTGGTAAAGTATGCTGTCAAAAGTAATCCACAACATACATGATGAGTTTTCTAAAACACCTCTAAAGCCAAGAAAATTCTTGGTGGAATGGTGTATAATAGACACAAAGGGCAGCTGGGCGTGGTGAGCAGTGGAACAGTTTGAAACAGGCTTGGTCAGTGTCAGGCTTCTCCAGCATCTCCCCCCACGGAGAGGACCTGAAGTGCCTCCCGCTGGGGTTCTAGCTGGTGTGCTGGCCTCTTGTCCTTTCCACCACTCAGACCTGTCCTCTTTCCAGGCTCCTTAACAAACGGTTGAACCGATGCAAAGACAAGTTGCAAGCCATCTGTGCCTCCCAGGAAGAAAAAGGTTGCAGATTTGAAACAAAGATTCGTGAGCTCACAACCATCCAGCATAGTCTCTGGGCCAAGCTACAGCAGATGGGACAGGATCTACAGGTATAAGAAGTGGCAGACGCTGGGCTCTGGACCACCTGGAAGTCTGCCTGGAATTCTCCAGTCGAGGGAGGGCTGTGGCTGGCAGCTTCGCACCTCACCTTGTTCAGCCTCTTCCCTTTCTCTTCTCTTCATGCCCTGACCATCTCCACCTTCATCCTCCAGACTATAGCTTCCCCCTTCGCGAAGGCAGTGCCCTGGGAGAGAACAGTGTGGGTACCATTCAGAAACAGCACGCCTGGCCAGAGTGGTTCTTTACAGCACTGATTCTTGAATCTTTTGGTCTGAGCATCCCTTTCTTAAAAATTTTTGCAGATTCCAAGGAGCTTTTGTGGGTTATATATATCTCTATTTACCATAGTCAAAATTAAAACTAAGAAGTAGTTTAAAAATAAGCTTAACTAATTTAAAAATGAAAATAATAAACACATTATATATGTAACGTCTTTAAACAGTAACTCCATCTTGTTTTTTTAAAATTAAGATTATAATAGTTAACAACCTTGTGAAATTACAGTTGTACATCATTATTAGTCATGTTGTAGGTACACCACTTCACCCCTAGTGCCCTCCCCCACCCCCCTTTCCCCTGGTAACCACCGATCAGTTCTCTTTGTCTATATGTTAACTGCCAGCTATGAGTAGAGTCATACAGAGTTCGTCTTTCTCTGTCTGGCTTATTTCACTCAACATAATACCCTCAAGGTCTATCCATGTTGTTGTGAATGGGACGACTTTGTCCTTTTTTATGGCTGAGTAGTATTCCATTGTATATATATACCATATCTTCTTTATCCAATCATCAGTTGCTGGGCACTTAGGTTGGTTCCATGACTTGGCTATTGTGAATAATGCTGCAATGAACATAGGGGTGCATGGGACTTTTGGAATTGCTGATTTCAGGTTCTTAGGATAGACACCCAGTAGTGGGATGGCTGGGTCATAAGGTATTTCTGTTTTTAACATTTTGAGGAATCTCCATGCTGTTTTCCATGGTGGCTGCACCAGTTTGCATTCCCATCAACAGTGTATGAGGGTTCCTTTTTGTGGTTGAGCTGTGTGAGTTCTTTATATATTATGGAGATTAACCCTTTGTTGGATATATAACTTGTAAATATTGTTTCCCAATTATTTGGCTGTTTTTTTGTTTCAATCCTGTTTTCCCTTTCCTTGAAGAAGCTCTTTAGTCTGATGAAGTCCCATTTGTTTATTCTTTCTATTGTTTCCCTCGTCTGAGGGGTTATGGTGTCCAAAAACATTCTTTTGAAGCTGATATCCAAGAGTGTACTGCCGATATCTCTTCTAGAAGACTTATTGTTTCAGGCCTAATCTTTAGGTCTTTGATCCATTTTGAGTTTATTTTAGTGAATGGTGAAAAAGAATGGTCAATTTTCATTCTTTCACATGTGGCTGTCCAGTTTTCCCAGCACCATTTGTTGAAGAGACTTTCTTTTCTCCATTATAGGCCCTCAGCTCATTTGTCGAAGATTAGCTGTCCATAGATGTGTGGTTTTATTTCTGGGCTTTCGATTCTGTTCCATTGATCTGTGCACCTGTTTTTATACCAGTACCATGCTGTTTTGATTACTGTAGCTTTGTAGTATGCTTTGAAGTCAGGGATTGTGATGCCTCCAGCTTTGTTCTTTTTTCTCAGGATTGCTTTAGCAATTTGCGGTCTTTTGTTGCCCCATATGAATTTTAGGATTCTTTGTTCAATTTCTGTAAAGAATGTCATTGGGATTCTGATTGGGATAGCGTTGAATCTGTAGATTGCTTTAGGTAGTATGGACATTTTAACTATGTTTATTCTTCCAATCCATGTGCATGGAATGTCTTTCCATCTCTTTATGTCGTCATCAATTTCTTTCAAGAAAGTCTTGTAGTTTTCGTTGTATAGATCTTTCACTTCCTTGGTTAAATTTATCCCAAGGTATTTTATTCTTTTTGTTGTGATTGTGAATGGGATTGAGTTCTTGAGATCTTTTTCTGTTAGTTCATTGTTAGTGTATAGAAATGCTACTGATTTATGTATGTTGATTTTATACCCTGCAACTTTGCTGTAGCTGTTGATTGTTTCTAATAGTTTTCCTATGGATTCTTTGGGGTTTTCTATATATAAGATCATGTCGTCTGCAAACAGCAAGAGTTTTACTTCTTCATTGCCTATTTGGATTCCTTTTATTTCTTTTTCCTGCCGAATTGCTCTGGCCAACACCTCCAGTACTATGCTGAATAAGAGTGGTGAAAGTGGTCACCCTTATCTTGTTCCTGTTCTGAGAGGGATGGGTTTCAGTTTTTGTCTGTTGAGTATGATGTTGGCTGTGTGTTTGTCATATATAGCCTTTGTTATGTTGAGGTACTTTCCTTCTATACCTATTTTATTGAGAGTTTTTATTATAAATGGATGTTGGATCTTGTCAAATGCTTTCTCTGCATCTATTGAGATGATCATGTGGTTTTTGTTCCTCATTTTGTTAATGTAGTGAATCACGTTGATTGACTTGCAGATGTTGAACCATCCCTGTGTCCCTGGTATAAATCCCACTTGATCATGGTGTATAATCTTTTTGATGTATTGCTGTAATCGGTTTGCCAAAATTTTGTTGAGGATTTTTGCATCTATGTTCATCAGTGATATCGGCGTGTAGTTCTCCTTCTTTGTGTTGTCCTTGTCAGGTTTGGGGATCAGGGTGATGTTGGCTTCATAGAATGTGTTAGGGAGTGCTCCATCTTCCTCAATTTTCTGGAATAGTTTGAGAAGGATAGGTATTAAATCTTCTTTGAATGTTTGGTAGAATTCTCCAGGGAAGCCATCTGGTCCTGGACTCTTATTTTTGGGGAGGTTTTTGATTACTGTTTCTATTTCTTTACTTGTGATTGGTCTATTCAGATTCTCTATTTCTTCCTGATTCAGTTTGGGGAGGTTGTATGAGTCTAGGAATTTATCCATTTCTTCTAGGTTGTTCAATTTGTTGGCACATAGTTTTTCATAGTATTTTCTTATGATCCTTTGTATTTCTTCGGTATCTGTTGTGATTTCTCCTCTCTCATTTCTAATTTTATTTATTTGAGACTTCTCTCTTTTTTTCTTAGTGAGTCTGGCTAAGGGTTTATTGATTTTGTTAATTTTTTCGAAGAATCATCTCTTCGTTTCATTGATCCTTTCTACTGTCTTTTTTGTTTCAATATCGTTTATTTCTTCTCTAATGTTTATTATTTCCCTCCTTCTACTCACTTTGGGCTTTATTTGTTCTTCTTTTTCTAACTCTATTAGGTGTCGTTTGACGTTGTTTATGTAAGATTTTTCTTGCTTGTTGAGGTGAGCCTGTATTGCAATGAATTTCCCTCTTAGGACTGCCTTTGCTGCGTCCCAAATGAGTTGGTATGGCATGTTTTCATTTTCATTTGTCTCCAGATAATATTTGATTCCTTCTTTAATTTCTTCAGTAATCCATTGTTTGTTCAGTAGCGTGTTGTTTAGTTTTCACATTTTTGCCCCTTTCCCAGCTTTATTCTTGTAGTTGATTTCTAGTTTCGTAGCATTATGATCCAAAGAGATGCTCAATATTATTTCAACCCTCTTGAATTTATTGATGCTTGCTTTGTTTCCCAAGATATGGTCTATCCTTGAGAATGTTCCATGTGAGCTTGAGAAGAATATGTAACCTGCTGTTTTTGGATGAGTGTTCTATATATATCTATTAAGTCCATCTGGTCTAATTTTTCATTTAATTCTATAATTTCCTTGTTGATTTTCTGTCTGGATGATCTATCCATTGGTGTTAATGGGGTGTTGAGGTCCCCTACTATTATTGTATTGTTGTTGATGTCTCCTTTTAGTTTTGTTAATAGTTTCTTTACAAATTTTGGTGCTCCTGTGTTGGGTGCGTATATATTTATAAGTGTTATGTCATCTTGGTTGAGTGTCCCTTTTATCATTATATACTGCCCCTCTTTGTCTTTCTTTATCTGTTTTGCTTTGAAGTTTACTTTGTCTGATATAAGTATGGCAACACCTGCTTTCTTTTGTTCATTATTAGCTTGGAGTATTGTCTTCCATCCCTTCACTCTGAGTCTGTGTTTGTCTTTGGGGCTGAGGTGTGTTCCTGGAGGCAGCATATTGTTGGATCTTGTTCTTTGAGCCATCCTGCCGCTCTGTGTCTTTTGATTGGAGAGTTCAATCCATTTACATTTAGAGTGATTATTGAAACGTGGGGGCCTACGGCTGCCATTTTATCACTTGTTTTCCGGTTCTTTTGCATTTCCTTTGTTTCTCGTCCCATGATTTTTGGATTCCTAATTCAAGTAGGTAAATTTCTGTATTGGCTTTCTTCTTATTTGCAATTTGTGTCTTTATTCTTGTTATTTGTTTAGTGGTTACCAGGTGGTTTGTATAACACATCTTGTAGATTAGATAGTCCTTTTTCTGATAGCCTCTTATTTCCTTAAATTAAAAAGTTCCATCCCTTTTCTCTTCCCTTTCTAGGTTCTTATTGTCAGATTTTTATTTCCTCTTCCTTTTCATGTTGTGAGTTTGTGGTTAAAATGACTAGGTTATATTTATTTTCTCTTTGTCATTGATTTTTGCTAGCTTCACTACTATATGCCTTGGGGTTGGTCTTCTTACACTGATAAAGTTTGGAGATCTATTGGCTTCTGTCACATGAAGTTCCATCTCTCTCCCCAAGTTTGGAAAGTTCTCAGCCATTATTTGTTTGAACAGGTCTTCTGCCCCCTTCTCCTTCTCTTCTCCCTCTGATATACCTATAATCCTTATGTTGCATCTCCTAATTGATTCGGATAGTTCTCAGAGAGTTTCTTCATTTCTTTTTAGTCTTAGTTCTCTCTCCTCCTCTGTCTGCAGCATTTCTATATTCCTATCCTCCAAATTGCTAATTCTGTCCTCCATATTATCGACCCTACTGTTCAGAGAGTCCAGATTTTTCTTAATCTCCTCCATTGTGTTCTTCATCTCCAGTATTTCTGATTGGTTCTTCTTTATAGTATCAAGCTCTTTTGTGACATAGCTCCTGAACTCATTGAGTTGTCTATCTGAATTCTCTTTTAACTCGTTGAGTTTTTCAATAATGGCTGTTTTGAAATCATCGTCATTTAGGTTATAGATTTCATTGTCTTTGGGATTGTTTTCTGGGTACTTATCATTTTCCTTCTGTTCTGGAGATTTAATATTTTTTTCATACTGCTTGATGGTGTGGATTTGTTCCTCCTCATAGAGATAGAGTTTAGTTACTTCTTCTACTTGTTGCAACTGGTGTTGGGGGGGAGCAGCTGTTTAGACTGCACCGACTAGGAACCTGTCAGCTGTTACTGACTGGACCTGGGCCCCTCCTCGTAGTCACAGTGGTCCTGTGGGGTCCCTTGTCAGTTGTGGGGGCAATCGCAAGGGGGCCTCAGGCTGCTGGTGCCGACTATTGCAGACCACCTAGATGCACTCCCTCCTTGGGGTCTGCAGCAGTGTTATGGGCTTTTACAGCAGCCAGGAGCAGGATCACCTATAATCACAGCCCTATCACTGTCAGAGCCCACAAGATCACACTTGTCCACTATAGGTCCCAGCAGAGCTATGGGTAGCTCTGTGGTTAGCTCACCTAGCTGTGCTACTTTTACCCCAGGGCTTTGCAGCCTTGTGATTGCTGGTTGGGACCTCTCCTCTAGTGCTGTGCAGAGGCTTTCGTTGAGGCTGCTGTGGGAACCTGAAGTTCCCCCCGGGCCACGTAGCCATTCCACTGGAGCTCCACCTAGCCCCAAAGTACTTCCATGGAATCTCTGGGAACCCCTTGCCCTGTCTGGGACACGGCCAGAGTCCGTGGGCCTGGTGGCGGCTGGCGGGCTGCTGCCTTGCAGGGAATTCTGCTCTTTGGGAGCTTCCTGGCATTCTGAATGCTGGGCGGGGCCTCTCTGATAATGGCGAGCAGAGGCTTTCCCTGCCCGTGGGTGCAGGACCCTGGAGTTTCCCCCTGGGCCGTGGAGCCGGGCTCTAGAGATCCACCCAGACCCCAAGCCCATCCACGGGAACTCTGGGTGCCTCTTGCACCATCCCGTGCACAGCTGGAGTCCATGAGCTGACGGGCTGCTGCCCTGCTGGGGATTCTGCTCTTTGGGAGCTTCCTGGTGTTCTGAATGCTGGGCAGGGCCTCCCTGCTAATGGTGACCAGAGGCTTTGCCTGCTGGCGGGTGCGGGACCCTGGAGTTTCCCCCTGGGCTTAGGTGTAATCGGGTGGGGGGCTTAGGTAGGGCTGTAGTCACCTGTTTCCACCGTCGCTCTGCTGGTGAGTGCACACTCCCGCCCTTGGTGCATGGCGATGCTATGGGGGGGTCTGCTGGAAGAGAGCCTCTTGCAGGTACTAGGCTGTCCAGGGGTCAGGGGTTGGAGAGTTTTCATCTATCTCCACCTCCTCCCAGGGGGAAGTCCGTCCACCTTCCGATGTATAGCAGCATGGGTCTCTCAGACATCCTGAGATGCTATATGGATATCCTTTGTTAACCAATGAATGCCCAATTAGTTGTAGATTCAAAGGGGGAGAGACAAAGAAGACTACTCACTCCGCCATCTTGGTCCTGCCTCCCTCCATCTTGTTTTTTAAACTTAGAAGGGTGGCATTGTTTTACATTTTTTACAAATCTCTTTAATGTCTGGCTTAATATAAGACAGCTGGGTTTTTGTAACTGCCTCAGCATTCAATCCGTTGCAAGATGTTTTGGTTGAAGTAGATGAAGAGATCTGGCCTCACACAGATTTGCAATTGAAAAAGAGGAATATTTTAATAGCCTTTTCAGATAATTGGAGATCTTTCTTTTGATACTACACCAAAACATGGTAAACAATAGTTTCTTAAAGGATGGCTGCGATATCAAATCTGAAACCTGGTGTGTCTCACCCTCTGTTGTGCTCTTTGTGTGGATTTTCTGCCCACGTGTGAGTTTCTAGCATCACGCGTTGGTCATTTGGAAGTTCATGAGCTATGCTGAACCTCCTGCTCACCCATTTCATTGTACGAGGTTAAAAAAGAAAACACATTCATTAATATCACTGCTAATCTCATGAGAAAAGTCTAAGAATTGGGAAGCTAGTGAGCTCATGGTGATGGATACAAGTTTTCCAAAATTTTGATTTTTGCTTAAATCTCAACTGTTAAAATTGGCAACATGCAGAGTTGTTTTCCTCACTGTGACAGTCTCACTTCATTCATTTTTGAGAAAATGTTTGCCAAATACCCGTCTGAATGACATGACATGTAAGTCATTCTTTAGCACAAAAGGCAACTTTTGTAGTTCAGTAAATGTCAGAAGTATTTCATGCATACTTTCCATTTCATCACATACAAATTTAAAAGGTGTGTTATTAAGAAAATTAAGAATTTTTGCTACACCATCAAGGATATTCTGAAGTTGATGTGGCTTTTTTTTTTTTAACTGCGAGTGCTGAAGAGCGCCGTGACTATCAGCGCTGACTGGCTGTGCTGCCTTGATTTGTGCTAAGGCACCGGCAGCTTTAGTTCACTTACTCTTGATTTTGCACCAACAGTGCAAATGTCAACACAATGAACAGGCAAAGAGCATCTATGTATCATCGTGAAAATACTTTTGACCTCATGGACCTCTAGAGAGGGTCTCAGGACTTCCAGGAGTCAGTGCTTGGTAGGGAGCACACCCCCTAGATTTTATGCCCATGGCTTATCATGAAACCCCTCTCGGCATGCCTGCCAAGAAAGATCATTACAAACCTATTTTATTGTAATTCTTTTTATCTATAAACTCAGTACGCTCATGTTTTCAGAAATTTCTTAGGATATTTTTAGAACTTGAGCGTTTAGAACCTAGAATTTCCCTGCAATCTTTATTTCCTATGATATTTTAGAATCTGAGCTGTTCCAACTTTTGTAGACAGTTTTCGATCGACATTGAATTAACAGCATGAAATAAAATTAATAGTATTGTATTTAGAGAGGAGAAAGAAAAATTTTGCGCTAAAATTTACTATGGAATATTGAAATTCAATGCATTTATGAAAAAGTTAAGATAAATGTTAATTTCTTCAAAAATAAACTTTTGTTTGCTCAGGCAGTGTTGCAGCCGCTACATCCTTCGCCATCTTCCAGTCAAAATATGGTTTCCAAGGGTGACCATGGAAACGGTGAAAGGTTTTGGAAGGAAGGAGATTCTTCCCAGATCAAGAATGCCGCTGAGGATGCTTCTGAACAGGAGCCTCTTCCCGCCCCCATCGTGACTGACAGAAGTCAAGCACACACACAGCGTGCTCTACCACACGCGGGATCACCAGAGGCCGTTTTGCAGCCCAGGTCAATGCGAAGCACCAGGGCACAAAGCCAAGCACAAAAGACCTCGAAGGGAATCTTCAGCTCCCTACCCGGTTCCCAGAAAGGACTTTTGTGGGATGCCCCCCAGATTGCTCCTACTGAAATGAACCGTCCTGCTCTGGCACCTGTGGAAAGAAAAGAGACAGCTAACACCCAGGAGGGAAAGGATGAGCTGGAGGAGGACAAACTGCAGGAATTGTTGTCAAAACTCACAGATGCCTTCACTCTAGACACGCCGTCGGGTAAGATTTTCACAATCAATGGAGATAGTGATGGCCAGGGATTCAGGCTGCCTTTGGAAGCACTTGATTTTATGACGTTGGCCCAACAGCTACAGTTCATTAGCGAGTAGCAGTCAGAGCTGTGAATCTTTTGGACATCAGTAGCATCGTTGAACTTGATTTCTCCTATTGCCTAATTCATAGGGTTATTATGAGTGTCAAAGGTGACAAACCATAGGTGATTGTAGTGTAGCACCTGGCACATACCAAGAATTCAATAAATGCTTATTATTTTCTTATTGAAATTGTTATTATCAATGGTACTAAAACATATATAACTGGGCAGCCTGATGCCACTGTTTAAAAATGGGAGTAGAATGATGCTGTCTTTCTAGAGGATAATTGATGAAGGCTTCTGTCTTTTAAGGAGTACCATCATTATCATCTTCTTCTGCGTGAGGTATGACTCATGGCTAAATTCTCAATGCTCTTTTTTAAAAATCATTCTTTACTATAGTTATTTCTTCTGTTTTGGAGTGGCATCTTATTTATAGAGTGTTTTGTTATCTTAATATGTCTATATCTGTGTCCATTTCTTTTTTGAAAAACCTAAGACCTTTTATGTTGGAGTGGTCATCTGGAGACGTGAAGCAAAAGATAACATTCTCGTGTGTTTCTGCAGCAGAGGAGCCTTCTCCGAATATTTCTGAGTCAGTCTTAGTTCACTAGGGCTGCCATAACAAAGTATCACAGATGGAGTCGCTTAAACAATACAAATTTATTTTCTCACAGTCCTGGAGGCTAGAAGTCTGAGATCAAGGTGTCAGCAGCATGGTGTCTTCTGAGGCCTCTTTCCTTGGCTTGTAGACGGCTATCTTCTCCTTGTGTTTTCGCACCCTGTTGCCTCTGCGCATGTCCCTCCCCACATTTCCTCTTACGAAGTCCTGCTCAGATCAGATTAGGACACATCTGTCCATATAACTTCATTTTTATTTAATTAACTCTTTAAAGACTCTGTCCCCAAATATAGTCACAATCTGAAGTGCTGGGGCTTAGGATTTCAGTATATGAATTTGGGGAGAGAGACACAATTCAGTCCACAGTGGTTGGTGAGCGGATAAACGGGTGTGTAATGTCAGTTGTATATTGAACTTGGTAAAGCCAAGTCAGTGAAGTAGTTATTTGGTGATTCTAAAAGTCTGTACTGTGAAGGGAGTTGGAGTTACAATCCTTGTATCAGAGAAAACACAGTCGCAAAGATGCTGGCAGCACGCTCAGACTGCCTGAAACAAAGGCAGGATGGGGCTCCTTGTGCCTGATTCCCAGGCTCACACAAGACTCCACCCACTGTGTTTCCATTGAAACATCACTGGAGTCATGATGAGTATTCAAGGCAAAGTCAGTATCCACTTGACCTTTTTAGGAAAATTTCACATAAAAATTTGGCTTTTATTCTAGAAATTCTTTTGGTATTTGATGTCTTCATCTTGTTTTTATGTTTTGTTTTTGTTTCTCTAATTGAGTTTATGAAAGTTGCTGATTTCTAAAGTGTTGTGTTGGGTCAGCCCTCACAAGTGTAGCAGGCTATATTGCACTTCAGATTCTAATGGACTAGTGACCCCACACATATTTGGAAGACAATATACCAACACTGTGCAGTTTGGTACCTAAAGCTAAAAGACCCTTGCATGTTTTAAGTGACTTTATCAAGGTCTAAGTAAATATATGCCTATATCTATATATGCACACATCATTATATCATTAAAAGGAAAATCATGAAAAGGTAAAGTTTATTTCTAAATTCAGATGATGCAATAATGTATGAAGATGCAATTAGCATTATCCAATCTTGTAGAACATATAAAAAATATACGTCTCAAAAGATTTACCTCTGCTTCCATTTGCAATTTAAGTCGAACCATTGAGATGCTTCTGCAGGAAGTATTGCATTATTATGCGAAAGAGCTTATGATATTAGCGGGAGGGTGCACATTTTCCCTTTTTGTTATTATAGTATAGTATATTTTGTGATGATTCAGCAAATACTAATGATAAGATTTAGATTTATAGTCTTATCTGTTTTATATCAGTCTTATTTCTTTGAGACTTTTAAGCATAGGATCTATCTTAATCCTCAGGGCTATTGTTTGCATTTATTAAACACCATCACTCCTCATCCACATGTTCCTTATTGTTTCTATCCTTATTCAACCTGGCATTCAATATGATCCTGTTTGTAAAGTCTCCTTAGCCATTGGCAATATGGATTATAAGAATACACTCCATACCTTATGCACAATCTATGCATGCTTACCAAAATTACACCAAACTCCGTCAGTGACAAAGTGTGGTCACCACACTGATGTGGATGTGGAAAGGCAGACAAACTGAATTCAGGTACTGATTACCTTGTTTTATTTCTGTCTCTGTCATGGATGCATCAGATAACAGCAGGAAGTTTCTAATCAGTTTGATGTCCCAGTTGTTTTTTTTTAATTTGAGAATTGTTAGGAAAATTAGAAAGATCTACTGTTTGTAACGTGCTGAGATTTCCCAAGACAGAGTGTCAGCATGTTCACCCAGTGTTGCGAGTGTCCTAGTAGCTGATACCCTTTGGAATGCAGCTTTGCTAAGGAGTCAGCACATTTTGGAAATTAAGATGAACTTTATAGGACTTAAGGCTTAATAAGACTAAAACAGCCAGCCCGATGGTCAGCTCGGGGGCAGGTGTTGACATTACTGAATAGAGTAATTCAGTCTCAGGATCTAGGATAATAGGATTTCAAGAGGCTACAAGAGGTTATTGGAAAAGAGAAAGTATGTAGAAGGGGTTCCCCAAACCTCTTTAAATTCCAAATGTTGGGTTGAAAATCACTAGCAAACAATTTGTTCAAACTTGCAGTGAAGGAATTCGATTTGAAAGAGTGTCTAGCACTACTTGCTGCTGTGAGGTCAAAAAAAGGACATAATAGTCTAGTCCTCCTTTCTCATTGGATTATTTTCTTTCCATTTGTGAGTGGCTTTTCCTGTGTATCTCTCTGAAATTCTTTTCCCAGCTTGACTCATCCTCTTTGCCAGCTCTTTGCCCTGCAGGTTTCAGGGATGAGAAAGGAAGGCAGGGGGTGAAATGGTGGGGTTAGGAGGGCGTGGTTGGGGTGGGGATGTGGGACGATTGTTGCTGTTCCTTTATCCCCACCTGGAACCATCACCTAAACTGTTATTTTAAATAATCAGAAAATGAAGCTTGAATTTTACCAAATTGTAGGAAAATAAAGAGGAGTGCTTTAGCAACCTCAGGAAAGAGAAGTTCAATATTGTGTCTTTATCTCAATTGTTTAGATGGTCATCTTCTCAAATGTTGCCTGGGAATCCTAGGGTTCTGTACTGAAATCTTAACAAATCTCTCTTTGGCTCTTTCCCACATACAGGTAAAAGTAATTTTTCTTGGTGGGAAAAGATACACAGACTTTCAGCATTAAGGTCCATGAAGGTAGGAAAAAAGTCTAGTTGGTTCATCATTCATTCACTCACTCATTCATTCAACAAGCAGTCATCAAGCATTACTATGTGCCAAGCACGTGCTGGATGCTGGGCATTCATTTTGAAAGGGGTAGATTTACGTTGTGCGGAAAGTGGCTGGAGAAGGGCAAGGGGGTGAGCAGAGATGGGGTAATAGCCTGCCATAGTCTAGGCAAGAAGTGCTGGCGGCTTGTCCTGGTGGATGGTGACACACGTACTGCGATGAGGACAGCTGAGCCGGATGTCAGCAAATCAAGAGTTCTGTTTTGAACAATTTAAGTGTGTGTCACCTGAGAGATGTCGCAGTGGAGATACCAGAGTGTCAGTCACCATGGACAACCTGGAGCTTACAGGAGAGATCTTAGTACAGAGTCGATATTCAGTACATACTGGTTTGCTTCATTACTTATCATTGTAAGGAAGACGTGGGCTCAGTGTGTCAGTTGCCCAGAGGAGCAATCATAGATGAGATAACCTAATACTTTCAAACCACTGTGTCCGTCTTTCTGATGGGCTTCTCTCACATCCCTGGTTCATTCAGGGACCAGACAGATTTTTAATTACATTCAAGTGAATGTTTTCCCATTGTGATTTCCTCTGGACTGTTGACCGCACAGGTATTTCCAGTTAACGTCTCAGTGGGCCTCCACCGATGCACTATATTCATTCAGTCCCTGGATGTATTGAATTCCAGCTGTACGCCCAGCAGCATGCTAGGTGCTAGGTGCATATATTTGGCTGTTTTTACCATTTCAAGGGACTGGGGCTTAAAAAGAAACCATCCAAACAACAGGAAATCTCCCATGCATAAAATGTTTTGCTCCCCTAGATCTTTTTTGCGGTATTTTAAGTTTTTATCACTGTGGGCTGAGAAAAAGAATATACTAAAATAAGTTCGCCTCTGGACACAGCTTTTTATTCAGGGAGTAAAATGTTGCTTATTCAACATCCTTGTGGCTGTGGAGCTGTCTTAGAGGATGGGTGGAGTAAAGGGGCAGGAACCCTCTTGTATGCTCAACAGAAAACAGCACAGATGGAGCCACAATATAAAGCATGTAACTAACAAAATGAGCCCCTCCATGTTTCCATTTCCTGTGATCTTATTTTTATTCATTGCATAAAGAATGTTATACTACATGTTCAGTGTAAAATTAAAATTCTTGAGTGCACAGATTTTTTTCTAAATGCATTCCTCATCGAGTCCTCCACCGCTTGCCACCGTTTCTCAGGGGTGACCACTGTTAGCAGATTGGTGAATTTTCCTTCACACTTTCTGATACAGAGCAAGGGCTAGATCGGCTGGCCACAAGATATGAAGGCCAAGGAGGCCGTGGTAGAGAAGGAACTTTAATAAGCCATAAGCTAGCAGATCGGAAGATGGTGGACTTAGTCCTAAAAAAACCCATCTTAAAGGGAACTGGTTTGGAAATGACTTATATGAGGGAAACAGGGTTGGGGAGGGGCCTCAGGTGTCAGGTGATGGATGACCGCAGAACGTTGGGCCCTTCTCCATAGCGGATCTGCTGAAGGCAGTGTTCCTGAGGAATCTAAGAAAACCTCAGTTACCTCTTATCTGGAACAGACGGGACAGTTTGGGCAGAGGACATAAATTTTCTGCTATCAGGTTATTCTTTCTGCTGGTTACAGATCAGCTTGTCAACATGCAGTTCCAAGCGTTTTTCTAAAGCACATCGTGAGAATAAGATGGGGACGGGAGCTTGCGGCCTTGGGGCTGGAGTTCTAAGAATCTTCCTTGCAGGGCTGACTGTCTTTCCTATTTCTTATGACGTGTGAAGCTTATGTTGGGTCATTTTAGCTTCCAGATGCTCCTGCCTGAAGCTTGGTCCGGCGGAGGGCTGTCAGCAGGCCGCTCGCTGATCAGCAGATACTTTTGCTTCCTTCACTTAATGGATCTTAGACATTGAGCATGTCATTTCCTAAATGCTGCATAGTATCCCAGGATATAAATGTACCATAATTTATTTATTGGTGTAAAATCAAGTTACTTCCAACTTTTTATTCTCATAAAAATGCTTTATTGAGTATCCTTTTAACATATTTTTTTGTACTCATGTGAATGTTTGTAGGGTCAATTCCTAGAAATAGAACTCAGGTTAAAAACTGTGTGTATCAAACTTTTGTTTGCCAGCTGCCCAACCCTAGATCTTTCTACAGCACAAGCCCTGCTATGGCAGATCATAGTGGACTGCTCAAACCATCCATCAGCAGCTATCGAGCAGAACTTCTCAAAGCGTGGTTCCTACACAGCAGCATCATTATCAGCTGAGAACTTGTTAGAAATGCAGATTCTTGGGCCCCATCCCCAACAGACTATGTAGTCAGGGTTCTCCAGAGAAACCCTGCCAATAGGATGTATATAGAGATATAGAAAGAGATTTCTCATAAGGAATTGGCTCCCGTGATCTTGGAGGCTGACAGGTCCCAAGATGTGCAGTCAGCAAGCCACAGACCCAGGAGAGCTGATGTGTGGTTCCAGTGTGGAAAGCTGGCAGGCTCGAGACTGACGTTCCATTCTGAGTCCAAAGGCGGAAGCAAACTGATGTCCCAGCTGGAAGGCAGGCAGGCAGAAGGAATTCTCTTACTCAGCCTTTGTGTTCTGTTCAGGCCTTCGATCGATTGGATGAGGTCCGTCCATTTTAGGGAGGGCAGTCTGCTTTACTCTGTCTACTTATTCAAATATTAACCTCCCCTCCAGAAACATTCTCACAGACACACCCAGAGTAATGTTTATTGGTGTTTTTCAGAATAATATCTGGGCACTGTAGCCCAGTCAAGTCGGCACATAAAATTAACCATCATATATACTGAACCAGAACTCTGAGGGTGGGACCTAGCAATCTGTTTTAAAACTCTCCAAGTGATTCTGATATACACCAGAGCTTGAAGACCACTGCTCCCTGCCGCTTTCTGGCTATTCAGGTGTCATGGGAAGATGCCCTTTGAGACCCCACACCCTGGTTACATTAGTAACGCATCGTGGTTAATAATGGCCATCCCATTTGCTAGGCAGCTTAGAGAAAGGGCCTTGTCCTCAGGAACGGAGGAGTATGGGTTCGGTTTCTTCTCTGTGCCAGAGCTTTATCCAGCTCAGTTTGAGCGCCGTCAGCTGCCTTCTCTGAAGGACCCTCCTTCTGCTGATTTCAGAGCCGCAGTCTTCAGGACACACGGAGCTGTATCGCGGAGCTGAGCGAGTGCGAGGGGCCTTCTCTGCCCTTCTGGACCACGTCACCCTGCCCAACTTGAAGTGAAGAGGAGTCCAGGCTCAAAAGCCCCTTGGGAGAATGATGGAATGTACGTTCAAAATCTGTGTTAAAAGAATTAAGCCTTCTGCCTCTCTCTCGATAGTCCGGTGTGAAGCATGAAGAGAAGTTTTATTTTCTAATCTCCCTATTCACGTGTCTTGGTTCTTCAGAGTAAAGCCTCGAGAGTGAGGGGTGGTGGAGGGAAATGAAAAGAAGAGGCCAGTCAGATGGGATGTGCTGAGCTCCCAGCAGAAGGCCGTTCTTACTTCGAATACCTTGGTAGTAATGTTCAATTGTGAGATCTACATGAATTCATGCAACTGTTTTCTTCACTATCATTTAAAGTACTGAACCGATGACCTGATTTTCTATCTAGATGCTCCTCTTGGAGACTAAGCTTCGGCAAAGAACTAAATACATACATACATACATACATACACACACACACACACACACAAATTGAGTGCATGCACAGCTGAATCTGAATAAACTGGTTGCACCAGTGTCCATTTCCGGGCTGTGTTATTGTGCTCTACTTATGCAAGGTGTTACCATTAAGGGAAATTAGGTGAAGGATATACAGGATGTCTCTATATTATTTCTTACAACTGTATATGAATCAACAATTATCTCAAAATAAATTTATTAAATTTTAAAACATGAACGTTTCTCACTAAAACTCTGCATCCAATGAGTGTGGCCACAGTACCCATATGCCTCCTTTCTCCGTATGTATGATTAGGATATAGATGCTTAATTTAATAATGTCCACAGTGTGGCTAATACTTTTTGGCTGTTAGAGCACTTAGTTTCTAAGCACCTCTTATGTACTAATTCATTTAATCCTCCCAACAAACCCTTCCTGAGAAACTGAGGCACAAAGAGGGTCAGGAACTTGTCCAAAGTCATGTGCTCAGTACCTGATGACGCTGAGATTTGAACCCAGCTCCTGAGCCTGTGCTCTAACCACTGCTCTCAGTAAATCTTGTTACGATTCCATTGTTTTACCTGTTAGCTTGAGGTGCAGTCCATGCTACACTTAGAGAGGCTGTGGAATTTTGTTTGTGTGATCTATAATTTCTGGTACTGTTTCCAGAGTGAAATGACGTCCAGTCTTGTATGATTAGGACTGGCTTATCCCTGTTCAGTCTCTCCCTGATATTTTTGAATTTGCTTTTCAGCCTATCACAAATTTTTGACTCTGGTTTTGTTGTTTGACATTTTCACTCTCCTCCTTACTTTATCCCAGCTTGTTCCTTACAAGTTTGACAAGCATGCCCTAGAGAAGCATGTCAGCCAGCAACAGCCCACGGCCAAGTCCTGCCCCCTGCCTCTCTTGTACGGGCTGTGGGCTAAGAGTGGTTATTACGTTTTGTTAAATAATTGAAAAGATCAAATGAAGAATAATATTTTTTGACACTTGAAAATGGTATAGATTCACATTTCAGCGTCCATAAACAAAGTTTTATTGGGACGAAGCCATGCTCATTTATTTACACATTGTCTGTGGCCGCTTTCATTCTACAAAGGCAGAATGGATCCGTGGCGACAGAGACCAGATGGCCCGTATCATATTTACTATCTGACCCTTTGCAGAAAAAATCGGCCACCCCTGCTGTGTAGCACCAAGGTGAGGACGGAGCAGGGGCGGACTGTTCTGTAAGCATTGAGAGAGTGGCATCTTTTCAACATTTTGTAAGAGGTAATGAGTTTATGTGGCGGTTTTTAAGAATATGGTGAAAGACATTAGAGAAAGTAGCATGAAAGCAAAACCATGAGCCTGTGTGGAATGGCAGTCAGCGGAAGCTTTCTTTTTTTCTCATTTCCTGTATGATTTTTTAAATTATTTTATTGAGGCCATAATACTTTATAACATTGTGAAATTTCAGATGTACATTATTATCTGTCAGTCACCATATATATGTACCCCTGTACCCCTTATGCCCACCCCCAGCCCCCTTCCCCTCTGGTAACCACTAATCTATTCTCTTTGTCCGTGGGTTAATTTATCTTCTGCATATGAGTGAAATCATCTGGTGTTTGTCCTTCTCTGTCGGGCTTACTTTACTTAACATCGTACCCTCCAGGTCCATCCATGTTGTTGCAAACAGGACGATTTTGTCTTTTTTTATGGCTGAGTAGTATTCCATTGTTATATATACCACATCTTCTTTTTCCATTCATCAGTGATGGGCACATGGCTTGCTTCCACGTCTTGTCTATTGTGAATAATGCTGCAGTGAGCATAGGGGTGCATGAGTCTCTTTGTATTGTTGATTTGAAGTTCTTTAGATAAATACCCAGTAGTGGGATAGCTGGATTGTATGGTATTTCTATTTTTAATTTTTTGAGAAATCTCCATATTGTTTTCCGTAGTGGCTGCACCAGTTTGCACTCCCACCAGCAGTGTGTGAGGGTTCCCTTTTCTCCACATCCTCTCCAACATTCGTTATTTTTTGTCTTGGTGATTATAGCCATTCTAACAGGTGTAAGGTGATACCTCATTTTGGTTTGGTTTGCATTTCCCTAATCATTAGTGATTTGAACATCTTTTCATGCACCTGTTGGAAAGAGTGGTCGCTTTTAATGTGCTCATTCTCCTAACCAAGCAAAAGCTGAGGCTGGACCCCTCCCCAGTTCCTTCCCAGACTTGCTTCTCCTATTGTCAGAACTTGGCTAATCCTCAGATGCAGCTGTGTCTTCTGAGAACCCTGTAGATAAGATTTCTAGCTGAAGGAGGACCCTAAACCTTCAGTGAAAGCATTTACTGAGGCTTCTTTTGGACCTGGGGAAAAATCAAGTCAATTGCTAACATATCTGAAATTCAAACTGGTTGTCAATTATCACTTATAGAATGATTGGAGAGATGAGAATAATTAGAGTTAAAAATAGCATTGTGTCTGGAACTCAAATAAATTTGCTAATCATTCAGGCCTGGTCCTTTTGAGGGAAAGAATGCTTTTGGGTTCTTTTCTTTTAATGGTGTTCATTTTATTTTTGGTTTGCTTTTCAATGCAAAGTGTAACCAATCATGGAATTTTAATATTTAGTCAAATAGAAAATATGCTAATTGGGAAATAATTTATACTTACTGCTATTTTATTAGAGTTTGGATTATTGTTAATGTTAACATTAAATATTGAAATAAAGAGACTCCAATAACATTCCTTGGGGTCCAGAGCTTTTATTAATTTGTTTCCATTAGAAGAATGCTTTATTTGCCAGTTTTTTGTTTTGTTTTGTTTTTTGCTTTATTCAGTTCAAAGTATTCAAAAATATTCTTTCAAACAAGATTCCAGTATCACAGACCATTAGTACTGGGTCATTAATAAATCTAGTGCCTTCTATGCCTGTGCATAAGCGATCCAGGGGTTAGTGTCTTGGAGGTCATGCAACACATTCATGTTAAATGTACGGCATTCTAGTTCATTAAAAATGTCAAGCATTCCAAAACAAATGATCAAAATGAGCAGCCCCACTCCCCTTCTCATCCTTGGAAGCCATTCTGACTCTTTCAGACAGTGGGATGGTCTGGCAGTAATGTCACCATTTGAAGGAACATGCTGGCAGCCTAAAAGAGTGAAAGCAAGAGCTCTGAGAGAATGTGGCTGAATATTTATCTCTGGACATTCCCACCATTTCAGGTAAACAAATGATCAATAGTCAAGAAAATATATATTTTTTTGAATTCCAATATATGAGTTAGCCCTGAGGTTAGATTTATTTTCTCTCTATTTCCAGGCCACTGGTCACTTTTCCAAGGAACTTGGACCCACTCCTGCGCACGTGCGTGTTTATCAACTCTTCAACCAGCTGTTTCTTCTTTAGGGCAGGGGCTCTTAGTTGCTGAGAATATGTCCCTGAAAGTAGAGAAAAGGAACAATCATTAGGCCACCAAATTAATTTCATGTTGATTAAATATTAATAAATTGATTTTCTAAAGTAAGTTTGCTGTTTTTGCTACTCTACTATCAAAAGTCTGTATAAATTTATTGCAGAGATATATATATAAATTTGTGTTTATGCAAAATTTTGTGTCCTATGCAGTTTAGTTATAAAAATTCAGTAAATTATAATAAATATATTTCCTTAATTGAGATGTATTAAGATATACTTTTATGATTAAAAAGTTAAAAATGGTCATTATATAATTTTTAATATAAAAGTATAAAGAAAAAACTTTAAGCCATGCATAATATAATCTTCCAGAGATAACCACAGCTTAACGCACACACAGTTCATGTCATCATTCAGTTTTCCATCATCCTATTAGGGGCACTAGATTTTTTCCGAATTTTCTGTTACTATAAACAATCTTGCATAAAGAGCCCCATGCTGCATCATTGGCTACATGTCTGACCCTCTGAATGTTTCCTTAGAATAGATTTCTAGATGGGTAATTTCCAAATATGTTGCTTAGGAAATTTCTTGGAGTGAGTAAAGCAGAAAATCAAGCATTTGTGAATCTAATTGTTTATATTTCTGAAGCATTGTTTTCTCTTCTGCTTAGTGTTTAAAAAAATAAGCTCTCTGAACATTTGCCAGCTAGTTAGACTCCGACAGCAAACATCATCAAATTATCAGTCTAAATTTTAATTTTCTTGTCATGGAGGAAAGCAAAGACTTACAATTTTTCTAGAACATATAAACTGCCAGGCTCAGGCAGGCAGGTTTTTCTGTTCCTCTCAGTGGCAGAGCAAGATTTGTTCAAGGAAGAGGCCATCAATTTTGACACAAACAATGATATACTTCAACATCCCTTCATTTGCATTTAAGCCTTTATGTTACCTGTGAGCTAACCTCAACTCTGTTATTTTCTATTTGGGGGTTTCCATCAGCCTACTCTTTTCCTAAATCAGTTACTCTCTCTCTCTCTCCCTTCACATAATCCATCATAATTAAGGAGTTAAGCCTGGGTACAGCGTTGTCACACCTCCCAGATATTTCAGCATTCGGCTATTAGCTCGTATCTTTCTAGACTAAATAACAATGATCTTTTGAGTCTCTTCTCAAATGATAATATCTCTAGTCCTCAGATTTTTTGGAATTCTCATTTCTGGACCTCCTCTGTTTCTGCTGATCGTTGTTATAAACAGCCAGTGCTCAGGGCATCGTCCGGCTCAGTAAGCCATCTCGGGATAAAGCTTTCCAGATCCTTTCCATGGTTAAATACATGCCTTTCATACATTTCTGTTTTATAGAATCACAGAACATTGGAGTGGAGAACCTGAAGAGACTTTATGGGTCATCTAATTCTTTCCATGCCCTTCTTTTTCTGGTAAAGTATCTGAGGGCTAAATAAATTAATTAACTTTCCCAAGGTTACACAGCTATTTGATATCTCTTGTTTTCATATTCGTTGACTCAATATTAACAAATATGACATATTAACATACAAAATTATATAGGAGTTTTATGTTATAACAAACCATGTTTCAAAGCAACATTTCTCAAGTGTATTTAAACTATTTAATTTGAGGACATCCAAATAACAAGAACCTTTTTGCATATTATGTAGACACTTATTTTAGCTCTTCCCTTTTGCTCTAATGATGTGATTTCCCTGAGAACTATAGAGACAGACACCTCTTCACCTCCACTCCCATCCCAGCCTTGTAGCATGTTAATCCCCGAGGGACAAAAGAAAAGATTAGTAGAGAATCCGTTCGGGTACATCTAGAGCCCAGTTGAGCCACTAGACATTTATTCGAGCCTCTTGAGATGAAATCTTGATGTTCCCGCAACTATCTAACTTTTAGACATAGTGTCTTCCTGACCCAGGACTTTCTCTGATTATGATTATGCAACCCACATGGAAAGTCTTGTCTCCTGATCTGCAAACAATTGTTTATGTCAAACATTAAAAAAACTTCAATGAAGTGAAATGTTGCCTCCTCCTACTTGCAGAGCCACAACAGCTAAAGTGCGCAGACCAGCTGGGTCAACAGCAACTCTACAGCAAGAGGAAGGAAGTCGCTTCCAAAGTTGAAGATAAATCTACTTCTTTTTTTTTAAGAAGATAAAAATGCCTTGTTGACGTAGATCAAAAAACTGCACATAGTCTCAGACTATTCTGATAGGCTTGTTGCAAGCAACTAATCCGAAAGCTGCTTTAGAGAAAGACTACTTAATTATTTTTATATTCAGTTCAAAACAAATATTATTATTTTCATTTATTCTGTAGATACTTGAGTAATTCAAAGTGAGTGAAAAATATAAAAAAACAGGAAATATTGGTAGTGATTTGAGGGTGGCAACTAAATATAATAAAAACGGAAGAAAAGGCCCTACAGTACAGATGAAGAAAATATACAGTCCTTACTGATGCTGATGTCTGGGCAGCCTCTGTTCAAAAGATTTTTAAAATATTGATAACCAACATTTAAGAGCATTCATTTTGTGTTTCTACTTTAGTAGCTAAGCTGCTGAAAGAATATTCCCTCTAAAAAAAGGAAATTGGTTTAAGTTACAATATTTGCCAAAATAATAAATTTATCTATAAATAATCACAGTGGATTATCTAGTTTTATGGATGAGCGAATCATGAGGATTTTTAGTTACTGAGGTTAAAACAAACTAGATATACGAACGCTTTACAATATCTTGGGAAAGGTTGATCTAGGGCTATTATTGTTAATAGCTATTTTAATAGAAAGATTACAGAAATATATAACAATACCCACAATAAAATGTAAAACTACAAAAATTAGTTATGCCTCAGTTTTCTCTGGAGCATAAATAATTCTAAGAGTCCCTACCACCCAAACAGCCCTTGCTGCAAGCCTTGGAAGGTCGTCGATTAAAACAACACCAAGAAAGGAGCAAAAACAGGAACAAAGCAAAGCTGCCTTTCAGCTCACTCACAGTAGCTCATTCGTCCTCATTCTAATTCTAGAAATGATATTTCTTCTCGTGCCCCCAGAGAAGGCTGTATTTGAATATAATACTTCCTTCATTGAAAATCTCTAAATCTGTAGGAAGTTCCAAATTACTAAAAATTAATTACTCAGCTTGCTGGAAGTTAATTACTTATTTGAGATTTGTTCAAAAGCAGCAAGGAGTGAATTTGCAAGCCAGCCGATTTTTCTACCCTTTGTTTCATCAGCTAAGTACATCTCCAGGAGTCCCTCCATTTACATGACAGCAATGGTTTTTTTCTTTCAATTTAAAAGGGTCAAGAGCTTGTGTGTTGTGAATGCTTATGTTAAAGTCTTCCCCATTCTGTAGCAAATAAACACAGGTTATGACTGCTAATGTTCAAGCTAATGGCAAAAAATTGTGTTAATTGGGGGGCATCACTTTATGCCTGTATGTTGTATTTTGAGAATCAAACTTTTCCTTACTTGTCTTTCTGACTCTTCCTTGCTGCTGTTCACATGAAGTGTGAGGATGAGGACAATATGCTGATATGAACAGCTACCGTGAAATGCAAAAGGAAGTGCTATCTATCTTTCTATCACTTGTGTGCTCCTGAGAGGAATATATGGGGCAATGGATTCCCCTAAAGCCATTCCCCTCTTCTTCAAAATTCAGCACATTCACACTTGATTGACCCTTTCAAAGACCTGGGACCTGGGTTTGACCACCTTGTTTTCTCCTTGTGTGCTGTGGATGCACTGCTGAGATCTTCTCTTCCTCTCCAGCCAGTTGCCTCCTTCCTAAGCCATGGTTCCTGGAGAGGACACAGTCCACATAGATGTCCAAGAAGAGTTGGGCCAGATCCCAGAACAGTGCCCCGTGCTTCAAGTTCTCAGATGACTTCAGGTAGATCATAAAATCCCAGAAACCTGAAACAGTGTTGGAAATTCGAGGCTTCTGCATTTCCAGGAGGTGCACTGAAGAAGATTCCCAGCACTGAGGATCAGCTTGGTTAAGAGCCAGCAGGTCTGTCTGGCTATGACAGAAGAAAGGAGACACACAGCATATTCCCACAATGAGCAGGGAGCAGGTGAGGCTCAAGGGTCGGTAGATCCCTCCTCTGTTCCCAGGGTTGGCCATGGCCCTGAAACTGCACAGGATGGAAAGATCTCATATGAGTCCCTGCTTGTGCTCCACTCAGTAAAGAAAGTACTTATGCCTTTAAGAACCTTGGTGCCAGCAAAGGAAATACACCATTGTCTCTAGGAAAAGTCTTATCCTGCTTCCCGTATCACAAGCCCCATTTTATCTAAAATGACTCATTGTCAAGACAGGTAGTGTAAAATCAAGATATTTAGATTAAGAAATATTTATTCCTAAGATATATCCCTTTGTAAGATGAGTAAGTGACTTGTTTTTCCCTTGTACAGAGAAATATAGTTTAAAGGAGTATTAAGTGAAACGTTAAAATCTTGCTGCCTGCCTTCAATTATTCTATAATATTATAATTTAGCCTAGCTCTCCTAATCCAAGACTCCCATGTAATTAAGAATTTGAATATGTTTTACCCTCGGATGCTTTTCTATTCAGGGTGACTTTTAATTTTAACAAAAGGCATAAGAATAGCAAAATGTTATAAATACAAATAAACACAAGATATCACGCTAAAAGTATGGGAACCAAGGGACATATATTCACCCCATTAAAGCAGAACTAAGAGACATTTTACAAACACCTAAAATGTTCTGCAATTCTGGTAGAACTTTCATAAAGATGATGTTTTCTCATTTCTCTCTTCTTGCTATAATTCTCAAGATTTTAATGAAAATTTTTTTCCTCATTCAACTTTTCTGGCCCTGGAAGCCTGTTGCAATAAATCAAGGCATCCATTTACCACTTTGAAGTTATTAGGTTACACTTCAGACAAGTGCAATGAGAAATAATGTCCTTAAATTAATAATAACCTATGTTCTCCTTTTTCCAAGAAGAAAACCTTATCTGACTGTTCAAAGACTATACGAAATGTATATAACACTTAAGCAACTCTAACATAAAGAAAATACATGGCAGTATATACACCTCACTTTCAGTCTTCTCTTAGATTTCCAAACCTCTTAGATGTTAGTATCATGAAGGCAGGCAAGGCACAGCTCATGGGCATATTCACTCTGTACTGAAACATCTCATGGTAACACTGTAAGATGTTGGTGTTATCTCATGATGGCACCATAAGATGGAATCTCTCTTCTGCACAGCAGCGGAAGGTACTGAGGCACCCTTAGATCGATATTTCAGAAACCGTCTTTGAACAAGGCACGTTCCTATCTTGAAGAGGCATACTGAGATTCAAGGTTATTCAAAAATGTTTTCTCTACAGTTCAGATCATTTGCACAGAATCTCTACCCGAACGAAATTATATTCAATACATCCTCTTCTGAACTAAAATATCCAAGTCGAGGGGCCCCCGAGGTTTTTTCCCTTGGGGGCCAAGTCCGGGCTGCCAGGGCTGAGCCTACAGAAGACAGAGGGCGGGCGCTGTCCAGGGTGCTGAAGCGGCGCCGTCGGGACTCCTCCGCTCGCCCCGCAGCGCCGGGAGCGGCCCCGGAGGCCCCCCGCTCGGAGGAGGGTCTTCCCCGCGCCGGCAGGTTCCTCCGCCCCGCGTGCGCCGGGAGCCCCGCCGGAGCCCCGCGCTGTGCCCGGCGCGCCCCGACCTGCACCTGGCTCGCGGCCTCGCCCCGCTCAGTCCTTTGCGCCCCGCCAGCCCCCTTCCCCGCGGCTGTCCTCCCCGGTCACGGAAGGCGCCCCTCGCTCTTACCCGCCAGCCTCTGGGCTCCCTCGAGCGCGCGGAGAAGCAATGCCCGGGCTGCTCCCCGAGCGGGCGACGGTCCCCAGCTTCAGCGTCCCGAGGGCTCCGTGCCTCTTCTTAAGCAGTGGGAGCGCTCGCGCCTCTTCACGTCTACGTCAATGAGCCGGGAAACTGCCGCCACCCCTCGCCCCCAAGCCCGTCTCTCGCACCCTCCTCCTCCCACGCTGCCCTGAAGATTTCCCTTCAGGAAACAAGCAGGCTTGGCCATCCGCACCCTCGTTGACCCTGACCCACGCCCACCCTCCACCCAGCGGAACTGTGCCCGGTGCGACTTGTCTCCCCGGTCCTAGCTCCGGAGGCGTGACGCTGCGGGCGCGCTCTGGAAAGTTGGGACCAGCCCCACGCCGGTCTAAGAGCGAGTGGGGCTCCCCAGATCCGCCCTCTCCAGCGCGCCTTGTTTGAGAATAAAGAGATGTGAGGGAAGACCCAAGACTCTTAGGGTCGGAGAAGGCACCTGGGTGTCCTCCCAGCGGTCAGTAAAGTCTCCAAGGAAGTGAGGCACCTCCCCGAGACATCCTGGGGGCATTTCTCCTGCCAGCCCGGGGTCCTGGGCCGGGAGGAGAAAACACCCCTGGGGCAAGGATGTGGCTAGGGACACGGCTCTGCTGGAAGCTCTCCTGGGGAAAGGAGACCTCTTATCTCCAGATTCTGTGACCTGTGTCACCTCGGGAGCCCTGGATGTTGCTGGCATCACTCGCGTCAGCCCATTGCTCGAGATTTCACAGCAGAGTCCCTGCTTTCCCAGAGGAAATGCCTGGGATTCCCTTTGATTCTCGACTCACAGCTAGTTAATATCCTTGTCAGAGCAGGAGCCTTGTCACCCTACGGGATTATGCTGACCATTAGCATCCACCCTACCTGAAAACACACCCAGCCCAGGGGCCTGAAGCAAAACACTTACCTTTGCAAGTGTTTGCAGGTTTTGCCCCTCGCCTCAAAACCCTCTAAGCATCCTGAAAACCATGCATAGTCTCCATTAACTGAAGGCTTTTGTGCCGGCTCAATAGTATCCACGGTTACCTTCCAGGGGGCACAGGGAGAAACCAGGCATAGAGCAAGGTTTACCCAAGACTTAAGAATGCACCCCCTACCCAAGTAATAGGAAGAAAGAGCTCTGGAGAGGACTCCTGAGGGGTTCTGGGCTCTCTCTCCTGCTCTGAAACTGGATGGAGTGAACTCGTTTCTCAATCTGTGAACTCAGCAAACTGATGCCTGCTTCTAATTACACCCTAAGAATGTGGGGAAAGATTGTAGGGGAGGTCTTGGACTTGCTTCTTGAACTTCAAGGAGCTCTGCCTCTTGGAGAAGGTCATCAAAGAAACACAGGGCTAGAGAGTGGCATGGGAGGACCCTAAGGAAGAGAAAGGGAATGGAGGGGGCAGAGATGGCCCCTTTGAGGAGGTTGTCTGGTGAACTTCTTGAAGAAGGAAGTTCCTGGGGCCCAAGGAGAGGAGATGGTCTCCTCCAGGCAGAGAAGTCGGCATGAGCAAAGGCATGGAGGGAGAACTCAAAGCAGTTCTGTGCTTCTGGGGAGCAAAGTCAAGGAAAGAAGTGAAGAGAGAGAAGGGAGAACAGAAGTAAGGACAAGAGATGTAATTCTGGCTGTGGCCGTGTTGAGAGTTACATTATGCTTGAAAACATCGCTACATCAACATGCAGTGCTTAATTTCTTTTCAAGTGCCATGTGTCAGGCACTGTTCCAGGTGCTGTGTAGACAGAAGGAGCAAAACAAAGTCCTTGCACTCGTGGAGTTCACATTGGGGGTGGAGGAAAAATGTACATTTTAATTGTAAAATGATATATGTGTATAATGATCTGTGTTTCTAGCTTCTGTGTTGAACGGTGAGTTTTCAGCTGTGTGTGGACAAACACATAAATAGTGAATCAAATAAACAGATAGTGCCATGCATGAGTCAATAATGAGAGTCTGTCTGTCATTCTGCAGCCTAAGAAGAAACATGTGTGTCAGGTGTGATAAGGAAAATCAAATGATCATGAAGAAGAAGTCAGGCAGGATTAGGAAAGGACGGTGAAGAGCTATTTCACAAGCGATACTGAGAATACCTTCCTGATGAACGAGATCTGAGTAAAGACCCTGAAAGGGAGAGAGGGAGTCCTGCATACATGTGTGAAAGGATGCTGGGGGTGAGGGGAGCATGGAACGAGTGTGTTGTGATTGTTTTCTGGGTATAGTGGTAGGAGGTGAGCTCAGAGAGGTGGTCATGACTCCATCCTGGCTGCTCAGTAGCCAACAGACTGGAGGGGGTGAGGGCAGAGGCAGAGAGTGCAGTGAGAGCTGCTGCAAGACCCACACAAGAGATGACGGTGGGTCAGATAAAGGTGGCAGGAGTGGAGTCGGTGAAAGGGAGAAGATTCTGAATACATTTTGATGGCAGAAAGGACAGGACTTGCTGATGGACTGGATGTGGGATGCAAGAAAAAGAGAGAAACTGAAGATGACTCCAAGTGTTGGGGGCTAAGCAAACGGAAGTTTGGAATTACCATCAGCTAAGAGGAAAAATGTTTTGAGGAATAGGTGTGGGGAAGGGAAATCAAGAATTTGGTTTTCAAGATGTTAAGTTGGAGATGACTGATAGCCAAATGGAGAAAATGAATCCCCAAGGAAGAGGTGGGTCTAAGATAAAAACTCAGACACAGTGCTCGGGAGAGAAGTCAAGAGTTGGGCTTTAGATTGACCTGTAAGCAACAGTTAAAACCCTCACAGGAAAGTATGCAGAGTGGGTACAATAGTAGCCTGAGGATAGAAACTGGGAAATGCCAACATTTAAGTGACTAAGAAACAGAGTTAAGAAGAACCAGAGAGTGTGGTGCTTTGGAAGCCAAAGAGACAGAGATTTTCACAAAGTGGGAAGAAATCAACCACATCACACAGATTCAGAAAAGGAGGTTGATAAAATGAAAACAAAGAGTTTTCCATTGGATCTTAAAAGTAGAAGGTCACCAAGTTGCTTATTAAAAGCAATATCAACTAGTGTTGGGAAGAAGTGGGCTGAGGCAGAAGTGGAAAGTGAGGAAATGCAGACAATCCCGGTGAAGCACTTCCTGTGAAGTTTAGAAAAGAAGATGAAGAAGAGTTGGAACAGGAGGTCAGGGGTTGGGTCTTTGTCATATTTAGAGGCTGAGGGAGAGGAACCAATAACGAGGGAGGAGTCGAAATTCAAGAAAGGAGGGTGACTAAAATCTCAGCAAACAAGAATCCACAGGGCTAAGAGAATGAGGAGGAGCCAACGTTCAATAGAAGGGAGTAGCTTG